TAATGAGCTTCAGTCAAATTATGCAGTCCATGAAATCCTTCCACTGTGATTGAATAAGAGGACAAAATCGTAACCCAAAGCGCCATGTGCCACAAAATGACCATTATCACAATTAGATTTACAGATGAAAACCAGGCAATAGAGAGCAAACCATGTAACTTTGCAACCCACGACAGCGGTGGTGTTTTTAATAAGCCACCAACTCGCCAACTCACATGACGATGAAAACATATCATTATATATTCCCTTTTCGTCGCGATCGGCTCAAAACACAGCCCCCAGGCAAGCACGATGGAATGCGTATTCCGACACAAGGCACACTTACTGCACTGCAGCGAGGACAAGTCAAATGGCATGTTGCTGGCATGCGGCGGCGACCGCTGCAGCTCGCTAGCCGTCTCATTGGTGGAGCCGTCGCCAGCCGAGCACAGCTCCGTCAGCGCCTGGTGATCAGGGTTTCGGTGACCCCCTCCCTCCCCGCCAAGGGGAGACCCGAGTTGTTCCCAAACGAGTCGTAGTGACGCGGCTCGGTGGCTGACGGTCGGCTCTGTTCGCCAGGAGTGTGGCGCCTCGTTCGACATGCGCCAGAGCAGCGCGCAGGCCGCGTGTCCCTGGGATGACGACAGTGTCGTCTGCCTCGACATCAAGCATGGTGGGTGAGCCTGCCGCCCACTGGCCGGAGGAAAAGCTGCACCGCCAGGCGCATGGCTTCACTGTGGGAACATAGGCTGAGGCTATGTACGACGTACGTGCATAGGTTAAAAAAAACGACCGTGTGAACAAACCAACACCTGCGACCGAAACCCCTGCCGGTCTTGACATCCAGATACCACGTCACAGTTGCAGGTTACCACGACCCCAAGGGGCGGAGAGAACACACGCGGAGATCGTCGGAGATGCCGCCCTGCCAGGTGTCACCAGGGGCGGACACACGCGACTCTCGGACATCCATTCTCCAGGGGCGGACACATGATGCCACAACTTTCAGAGCATTCCTTTTTCAGGGATAGATACGTAAGACCATGACTTTCGGGCATCTTTTCTTCAGGGGCGGACACATGAGACCGCGACTCTCGGGGCATCCCCTTCTTTAGGGGTAGATACATACAGTCGCAACTTAAAAGGGCATCCCTTCTTCAGATTAACACACGCGGTCACAACTCTCGGGGCATCCCTTCTTCACGGGCGGACACATAAGACCGCGACTCCCAGAGCATCCCTTGTCGCCAGACGGCGCCCGGCGCGCGGGCAGCAAAACTACGCCCGCGTCAGTAACGCCGCACCGTCTGCCGACAGCCGCCTGGCAGGCCCGAACCTGCGGTCGCGTGCCGTTCGATGCCGACCTGCGGTGCATCCCCGGCGAGAACGGCGAGGACGGCTGCCCCTGCCCCAACGCCCTCTGCAACGGCGCGCGACGCGTGGCAGCCGCGCCGGTAGGCCTGGCCGCCGCTCTGCTCGCGCTCGCCTGCCAGCGCGCCTGAACGCTGATGGCACGAGCCGTCGATTCGTCGGTAGCTTTGCTCGGATGCATGTGACATCACTCATCAGTTATAATGTTGTTTGGTTGATAAACCATGTGTTTACTCTTAACGTTCAATATTCACGCTAGGTGAGCAAACATCTTATTTCAAGTTTGGAAGTTGCCTGATAATTGACTGGCGGGAGTCTTGATTACGACACAAATTTTTTACTGAATTGGTGATGAATCAATGCATTTGTATGTATCAACCAGACCCGATGTACTCGGGTCATGGAATCCTGCGTCAAACTCACACCCGTGCCCTTATTTTTCGTTTTTTGAGTGATAAAGAAATTTATGCACCCTTGTACGGTTTTCTAATTAACATCAGGTCGTATCAGGCCATGGCAATTCAAGCAAAAGCAGTTCCCAAGGGAATCGTTCATCTGGTGCGGCAACTGCGGTTTTAGAGCGCAGCCATGTATCTTGAGGCGGTTTTCTTTCACAATTGACCTATTTGACTAAAATACGGACTTATTCCATTCAGTTGGAACCAAATATGTGGGTGAGGTCGAGATCAAAACAAGTTTTGATTTCTACTGGACACCTTGTTTATGAGGTAGTTTTGACGTTTGTTTCGACCATTTTAACCAACAAATCACGGGAAGTCATAAAATATGTTATTTGAGCTTACTTAAGGTCAGAAAGGGGTCACTAACTTAGAATGATCATGATAACTTTTTTATTTAAGAGCATGCTGCGCAGCATACTCCTAGACGCCTACTGAAATTAAAAATGAAAACAATATCGCAGGTGTGTGGTTACCGTGACTTCTTAACTTAAATACCAGAATTCAAATAAGGTCACTGTCTTAAATGAATACAGTGACCTTTTCCCTGGCAGAGGTATGTATGTTAAAGATGACTGCATAAGGATATGTGAGGAAACTTCGACATCAACCTCGAAATTGAACTTGTTTGACCATTTTTTAACCAAAGGGTACTGGGATGGGGACCTCAAACTTTGACAGAAAATGAATTCACATGTATGCCTATGCATCCTGGTAATTTCGTGCTTCTTAGTGTTTGAACTATCAGGGGTTAAATTAACCCCCACCTATCCGAGCGGCGTCTTATTCAACCGGCCAGCCGGATGCGTGTTCATGAAGAGCAACTCAAAACCTACAACGCAAAAAACAAAACTGAAAATCTTACTCAGCCAACTTTTTTCAATCTCATCTTTTGACATGTCATTGGCATGTCATGCATGACAGCCGTTGGTATTCAGACCCCATTCATGAGTTCTGTGCTAGAGAAGCTTGGTGGCTTATCTTTATGTCTATGACATATCTTTATGTTTATAGTTGAATTCAGACAAGGCGTTAATTTTCGTGCAGTTTTTGAATCAAAGAATTTAATCGACTGTATTAACATTCACCTTGACTTAGGAAAATGTATACCAAATCGTTTTCGAAGAGAAAACAGTTAAGGTTACGACTCACATTACGGCGTTATGCCAATCCATTTACTTGTGACAGTATGACATGCGCGTTTTATGAACTGT